TATCCATTTTCCGTACATTCTCTTATTCTCGGACTAACCTCCCTAAGAGAATTGTTACAAGCTTAGATTGAGGTACCTAGTGTGCACTGACTTGAGCTCCTTGAAGGAAGAAATGTGAGAAATAAATCAACACTGTGAATTGTGATAGGAAGCTAGTTCGGATTTTGGAAAGCCAGGGAATGTATTTCAAGAGCAAACAATTCCTTGGGATCAGTCTTGGAATGGTTTTCAAAGGCAGCCCAAGAGAACACACAGTGCAAAAATAAAATAAGGGAACTTGGGGGGGGGGGCTTGCCATATAAGCTTTGTGCTAACAGGCACCTTGTATACAAATTTAATAATAAATAAAATAAATATATGCATGTGTAGGCAGCTTGTTGTGAAAACCTGCCACACTCGGGAAAGAAGAATGTCAATGATCCACTTTTTCCCTCTTCAAAAACACACATGGTACTTGAGAAAACTCCCTGAAGGGCCATTAAAGAGTATTTGTTTAATCATATGGGAGGTTCAGAAAGTTGAAGAAAAAATGCTGATAGTTAGAAGAATCTAGTTATGGAAACCTTATGAGCACTTGAGTTCAGGATTTTAAGACCACGGTCTTAAAACAGGCGGACCATCCTAAAAGTGGGGGCTGACATAGCTCGCCCCATTACAGTATATGGTATGCCGAGTTTTAGAAGCACACGGAGTTCTCTTCATGGGAAGCGATGGGGACGTCCCCATAGTGTACACTGGACAGGTTTGCCAAATCACAGCTTGTTCGGTAAAATATTAGAAGTGAACAGAGTAACTGTTGGCAGCAAAAATGGACTATTAAGAAGCAAATAACAGCTTATTCCTAAACATGTTTATTTGGAGGATAATCTTTTGAGTTAATTTACTTCCCTTTCTGTTCAATGAGTTTACTTCCCAGAAATTGTACTTAAGGTTGCAATACACTTTTCATTTTCCCATTCTGTCCTAACCCACCATCTGTCTCAAAGGTTTGAGATGAGTCACAGTACTGTAACTCATAAACAGAAATACCCATTCACAATACTGTGCTGGATTAAAACACCTGCATACCTGCTTAACTCCTGAGGGAGAGAGAAGAAATGAACAAGCCGGTCGGCTAGGAATCACCCTGAGAATACAAAGAATACATGGAGGAAATCAGAATTCTAATTTTAATTCTAGGCCTGACAGATGCAAAAGCTTTCCATATACCTGTCACAGTCGTTTCAGTAGTGTTGTGCCCTGAGGGAAAGCACAGTGTATCAGGAACACGCAGGGTTGGGGCGTTTGTTTCCTGGGCTCCCTGTTCTCATAAAATGGAATGGTCATGCCACATCTGCGCTTGAATTGTTTCCAGGGAGTATTTTTTTTTTCAATTTAGATCCTGCCTTTTTCCTACAAAGGACTCAAGGCAGCTTACATCATTCTCCTCCTCCACCTTATCCCCACAACAACAACCCTGTGAGGTAGGTTGGGCTGAGAGTCTGTGACTGGCCCAAAGTCACCCAGTTGACTCCATGGCTGAGCGGGGACTCGAACCCAGATCCTCTGAGTCCCAGTCCCATGCTCTTCACCCCTGCACCACACTGGCTCTCATATTTTTATGGTTCCTTGGCCTATGAGAGTTGACCACAAACATGCTGTTTTGGGAAACCACTCTCTTTTACAAGCACCGTCATGGCTATGATGCTGAAGGGTTGTTTGGAAGGAAAAAAAAGGAGATGCACAAGCTGTGGAGGGGCATGTTGAAAGCAGATCTCGGACCGAGGCCATACTAGAGCTCCTGGAGGTCATTACTTTCCTACAATCATTTGGAAGTGGATTTCAAAAGATGGTTCCAGAGGTATATTATCCTACAATACCCATTCCATGGCCAAGACTCTTCTGTTATTATTTACAAAGAAGTCCTATTCAGCAATGGTTCCCTGCAACAATTTAAATTGGAACCTTCTCACTGCGGCTCCTGCTTCTAATTAGTTCCTGTTCAGTATGGCAAACTGAGTAACTCTTTGTTAGTCAGTTTCTGTTCCCTGCTGCAAAGCAGCTTTAATTGCTGATCTTCTCTTACTTTTCCTTTCTTTACCTTGCTTGGATGTTCTTTCTTTCAAGAAAGAAACAGAACAGCACTATTAAAAAGTTAACATGATCAGAAGAATACAGAGATATTGGGTGGGTTCACAGGATTGTGGGGAAAGAAGGCAATTTGTGGCATGATGGTGTGAACCAGGCATTATGGAGACAAGGGTTGTGCTGCACAAAGATCAGAACAGAAGACCACTTATTTGTTAGCCTCCATGATTCATAATTCTGCTTAATGGGAGGATGGGTTAAAAGAATGATTCTCCAAGGGATTGGTCATACCTTTTTCAAAGACCGACCAAATATCTGGCAGTATCCCCTGGTAAGCAGCCCTAACCCCTCAACCAAGCTGAAAAGCTCAAATGAAAATCTCCAGATTTACTGCAGTGATACAGAAAGGCAGCTGTATACACATGTACCAAGTGCTCCTCTAGACAAATACTACTCCAGTAGGAAAGCAATTTTACATTTGCATTTTAATTGAATCATACACTGGAAAGTTTGTTCTCCTCAAAAACATGTCCCTTCTTAATCCTCTCCCCAAACATACACAGTATTTTTTACTGGTTCATCATACACTCCAGAGGTCTACATATCATTGACAGAACCCAGAAGTTACTTCTGTGCTGAGAGCTGTGTTTGGAGTGATAATTAAAACAGAAAAAAAGACTAGATTTCTTTCATTCCACCCTGTTGTTACCTGATGTTGATTTTACCATAGAATTGTCAACCTAATTCAGTACATCCCCAGTTTGTAATCTAAAGTTAAGGATGGTAGGAAGAAATTCCTATTATTACTGATTCACGGTTGGGCAATACCTGCGATAGAATCAACCAAAATTCCAGAAAAATGGGCAAGCTTTTGAGTTTGCCAGAATTCTCCATCAGCCTAGTAGAGGATGGGAACCTGAATATGTCTGAAGAACTCAAAAGCATACACATTTTAGCATTTCTGGGAAACTCAAAAGTGTGCGCATTTTGTCCTAATAAGAATATTGCCCAACTTTGGATATTTTTTCTCATGGACTCCAGAAAAAAGAATAATTAATATAGCTCAGGGCTGGTTTGTAATCTCTGGTTATTCTAAGATTCCTAGCTGTATCTGGAAGCTCTGATCTGATTGTGGCAGAAGTTTTCCACTACCCATCTGGAGCGAAGGCCGACGGTTGTTCACACTATGTAATGCTGCAGTTAAATTACCGTTTCTGGATAGCTCCATCCCACATGATTTTGGTGGGACTTGAAATATGTCACGCAGCCCTCTCATCTGGTCTCCACATATCAGTGAAGCTGTGCTAGATGTCAACACACAGAAGTAACAATCTCACAGCTCAAAGAATATGGAGAAGCACCGTGTAAACTGCCATGGTTCCTTGCAAGAGCAAAACAAAGGTGGGGCATAAATATAATGCAATCACCACCACCATCATCCACAGAAAGCGTGGCATGAGGTTTTTGGTGCTGCAAAATGATCCTCTTGGCAACCAAAGCTGCAGGCTGGAGCCATTGTATTTGATGCGTCTGAAGTGCCCCTAGAGCTGGTCTACAATCCAGGATTAAATTATTAGCTGTTAGGGTCAGTGAAGCAGATAATGTGTTCATTTAAGTTACGATGGCCTCCCAGAAGAGAGCGATTTGGGGGCATTGCCAGAACCTATGAACCAGATACGGCTGAGCTGCCTGGTCAGAGCCAACCGCTGTCATTCTCAGGCCAACTAAGGTTATGGAATTCATTGAGGTAGCAGTGCTCCTGTAGAAGAGCTTGCTGTTGAACAAGCCTTACCCAGAAGTCTAAGGTGGAGGATTAATGGATTTGACCGCATTCTGCCATTGAGATTTTTAAATGCGGTGCTCATTTCTAAGTTTTACTAACAGCAAAGAATACTGACTTCTTGAAAGACTTTATTAAGTCTTAGGAGGGTTAAGGGTGATCTCCTAAGGCTGACTGACTGTGGTGGCCCAGGGGAACATCAGTGCTGGTGGCAAGAGCCCCTCCCACAAACGTGTTTCAGAATGGCCATTTGCATAAGCTCTCAGGATTAAAAGAAGGGTCATGACTGGGGTCCAGTTGGTGTCCAGTTGTCTTTCCCAGTGACAATGATATAATATTGATTATACCTACCCTGAAAAGAGTGCTGTGGCAAGGGAATGTACATAGTTCGGCTCTCTGCATATACTGTACGCAGAAAGTCCTCACTGGGTTCAGTCCCTAACTCCAGTGAAAGCTGGGCTATGCTAGGACCCTGGAAAGCTGTTGCCATTGGGAGTAGCCAGTATGAGGCTTTCTTGGTTTAAAGAGTGCTGGTTTTAAGACATAAACCCTGGGATACATTCCTTTTCCCATATGAACCTACAGGACCCCTTTAGAAACCTTCTGCTGCCTGCTCCCTCCAAGAGTTCAGCAGGGGTCAGTCCAGGACAAGGCCTTTTCCCATTTATGGGACCCCCACCCCAAAGAAGCCTTGCCTTGCACTGACAAGGTCATCTTTTCAGCACCAAGCCAAGATGATCTTCCCAGGCATTTGGACGTTAGTTAGGACTGAATTTTGATTTGCTTTTGTGGTGCATGTTCTAGACTGTAGGGAGAGAAAATTTTGGGCGTTGTGGATTAACACTTTTTGTATTGTATTGCTTCTACATTATGTTTTTATGGCATTTGTAGCACTGTTTATTAGGGTCTTGTTTTATGCATTACGGATTTCAGTACTTGTCTACTGGCTTTTATGGTACATATAACGATGTATTATCAGTTTAATAAACCAATGAATGAATGAATGAATGAATGAATGAATGAATGAATGAATGAATGAAACTATTATTCTGACCTGGTGTAGCAGGGTTCTGTGTAGTAGCTCTGCGGTTGTGAGGCAAGAAGGGAATCTAATGGTACCGTTACTGTATTTGACACCTGCTCCCGTCCCCAGATATGTGATATGGTGGTGCTTATGTCACAGTGCCGCCATCTCAGACCGGGAAGCGCATCATTGGGGGAGTGGAGTGTAAGCCACACAGCCAGCCCTGGCAAGTCTTCCTTTTCGATGCCAGCCGAAATCGGTGTGGAGGAGCCCTGATTGACGAGTCCTGGGTGGTCACAGCTGCACACTGTCCCGGAAAGTAAGTTTATGGGCTCCTGAGTAGAAAGAGGAGTGTGAGGGGAGGGAGGGGGTAGCTGCAGCTCCCAGGGTATCAGGGGCTTGCTCCAAAGCCAGTCCAGCAAGAGGTTGCCACTGCCTCCTAGGGCTGCCTCAGTCTGAAACGTAGAGAATCACCTTAGAAAGCTCTGCACTTCGCAGCAGGGCTTAATTGGAATAAGGCTCATGCTTTCAAGTATGATTGGTGGCATGTGCATTTACAAGACAGAAATAGCATGCATCAAAAATTGTTTTGTGTTTTTACACCGAATACTGGATACTGTGATTTTTTTTTTACTCTTACTTTTATTTTCATTCTATTTTATCAATATTGTTGTAATCCATCCCGAGATGTTTGTGATGGGACGGTATAGAAAAGTTTTAAATAAATAAATAGGTCTTTGGAAACAAAAGTTCATGCTGAAAATGACGTTTGGCTAAACCAGTGAGAAGCAGAGTGGCAGGGTGGACTGGGAACCCAGGAATTCTGCGTTCACTTGGCCCTGAAGCTCCCCAAGTGACTTTGGGCCATTCACTCACTCTTGGCCTAACCTGCCTCACAGGGTTGTTGTTGTGAGTATAGAATGCAGCTATGCAAGTCCACTTGGGTTCTTCACCAGAGGAAAAAGATAGGATAGAAATGCATTATGCCTGACCCTGCCTAACTTTGGAAGCTCAGCAGGGTGGGGCCTGGTTGAAATCTGGATGGGGGACTTAAAATGTTGTGAACCAGCCAGAGGGCTTCACCTACGGGCAGCATAAACATGTAATCATCATCATCATCCTGTCTATATACATCCTGAAGCACAGGACTTCAAATAGGACAGGACTGGAGAGGCACATGCTGAGAGAAAGATGGAGACAAATTGAAACAATTAAGGGCAAGAATAGCCCTCCTGGCTTTATAGTCAAGAGCCTCGGGCAAATGCGAGGTGACCCTCCAAAGCCAGCAATCCCCAGGTAGCCAAAGTTTTGTGAGGCTCTCCTGGTAGGGCAGGGTGGAAGGCTCTCACAGAGGCCCCACTGAAGCGGTTCGGTCCAGCTGGCTAGAGCTCTGCTCGAAGGCAGAACAGCACACGGCCACGTCTGCGGGCCATCTCACAAGCACGTGCAAGGCCGTCCTCACAAAATGGAGCTTTTACTAGAATGCACAAAGAAAGCGGATTTCTGGACACGGAGGATAATGTGTGTTTTAATTAAGATTATTTTATATGGATTTTAACTTATAGTTTTATCTATGTTGTAAGCCGCCCCGAGGCTTCGGCGAATGGGGCGGCATAAAAATGTTTTAATAAATAAATAAATAAAATAAATGTGGGAGGGCGACCTGGGCCACAAACACCTGCCCTAGTAAAGCAAGGCATGGAGGGCAAGAACAGATGGCCAGGCTTCATCCTGTACAGCGGCCTTCCCAGGGTGGGTCTCTACAGACATTGGGAATACAGCTCCCATCAGCCTCAGCCAGTAAGGTCAGTAGTCTGCTAATGGGAACTGGCTGGCAAGAGCATATTATGCCAGTTCTTTAAATCACATCAAAATAAGGTAGTGAGGATGCACACCAAAAAAATGAAAATGAAACCTACACCCAAATTCTGAAACTGAAATTGTGGTCTCTCTAAATTTATACTGAGCAAGCTGAAGAGTGTCAATGTCAGAATGGACAGAATGGACGGGGATGAGGAAGAAGGAACAATTTTAAAGGGGCACGTGCACAAGATTTACGCAGCCTTGCAAGAACTGTGTTTCACTGACAGCCGTCACTGTATTAGCCGGTGGCTGACCTGGCATGAAGCCAGAAGGTGCCAGAAGATACTCAGGCATGTATGTCAGGATTGCCCAAGGGAGGGGCCATTACCACCATCATTTACCTGTGAGTCTGCAAACTGAGCAAGGAGAAAGCTCACCTGGACGGCTTTGTGTATCAGGATGCTGCTGACTGGGATATGACCGCTTGAAACGGATGCTGAGTTCCCAGGCATTGGAGGGAAATCTAACATGTCAGTTTGAGCAGGTTCAGACCGTCATGACTTTTTCAGAAAATGCAGTGTAGCCCTTCCAGGCCTATATTGCATCAGACTGCAGGAGGAGGGAGGGTAAATTGGAAGCTCCTGTGTGTCAAAACAGATAAACAACCCCAACAACGTGAAGAGAACTATTTTGTTGGGAGGAAACCTAGGCAAACCGGGGCCTGACATTCTAGCTTTCCAAAGGCTGACAATATTTGCTAGGGTGGCAGATCCAGCCCTGGTTTCCTCCTCTGAAGTGGCTGTCTAGGAAGGGTTGCGCCACAGGGCTGTTCTGAACAGCTCTGAGCCCTGGTTTCTGTCTGCTGCATAGTTCCCTCACCGTGCACCTTGGGAAGCATGACCTGCGCACACACAATGTGGGAGAACAGCACTCCAAGGCAGTCAAGAACATCCGCAACCCTGGATTTGACCCTCTGTCTCTTTACAATGACATCATGCTGGTGCAGCTGGACCCTCCTGCCATCCTGGGTGACACAGTGAAGACCATCCCCATAGCGAAAGAGTGTGCATCCCATGGGACAAAGTGCATGGTGTCAGGCTGGGGCACCACTGCTTTCCCAAAAGGTAAGGAGGAAGCCCAGGGGCTACCGATTTATCTGCAGGAGCAGAAACAATGTGGGGATAAGACTGAGAGCAGGAGAAGAGTGTTATAAGCCACTTTGAGTTCTTTGTAAGAAAAACAGCGGGATATAAATCTAAAAAAGAACATCAGCACCCCCAGTTAAAAGGATGTTGGATAAAGTGCTAAGAAATCCATCTTTCTTTTTTGGAGATCTCAAACAGCTACAGGGAATGTTAGAAGAGACACAAGTAGAAGCATCCTTGACCTTACTCAAAGGAAGAGGACTTCATGTGTTCGTATTGTATTTCCAGCTTTGAGCTGGGATAGGCAGAATGCAGCATTTTCTGAGTTAAAACTTCCAGGGGGCCCTGCCAGCATGGTCAATGGTCACGAATGCTGGGAGCTGGAATGTGAAACCTTGCAGAGTCTTTCTGCCCATTCCTGGGCTGGGGAATCAGATTTAAGGCTTTCAAGGAGGGACCCTGAAGCTACAATAGCCAAGCCCTCCAAACAGTCTGCATGTTATCCACTCACTGAACGATTCCTCTTGCAGTTAATTATGCCCATACCCTGCAGTGTATGGATACCAACATCATGCCAAAAGACGTATGCAAATCCATATATGGAACCTACTTTTCAGACACCGAGATCTGTGCAGGGAAAATGGAAGGAGGCACGGACAGCTGCCAGGTGAGCATCAAAATGAGGGTGAACACCCTTGCACGAGTATTATCACCCAGTTGAGAGAGTGTTGCAAAATGGAGTGGCAGGTGTGTGAAAGGGCAGGCAGTCTGCTACTTTCAAAACTCTGCCAGTGGAAGGAGTGGGCACCTTTTTTTCAAAAAGAGTTCACCGGTGCATCCCCATTACTTCCAATTTCCCAGCCTCACTGGCTTCATGCAGCGCTGGCCACAGGTGCAGGAGTGCCTGCGGCAAGATCGCTCACTGGCCCTGCTCCCTCAGCGAGTCCCCCTTCTCAGCAGCTCTCCTGCAGGATGCAGTTAGAGAACGCAGCTTCAAAAATCAATTACTAGGAACAAAAATACTTCAGAAATTAAGCAGAACAAAAAGGGGCGTTTCAGTGGTCACCCTCAGAACATGGGCACCGGGGGGTTCACTGCACAGCAGAATCCTGCGACCCCCTATGGCTCAACTAGCAAGACTGAGGCCAGATTCAACACCATGAGGACTATAAAGCAGATGTCTCAAATCCACCCCTACTTCCTGGCTTCCTGTTCTAAGCCAAATAGCCCCACCAGCTTCACGAAGGCAAGATGCCCTAGTGAGAGAATACAGAACAATCATGAGCAGTCCAATTCTACCGGTGCATGTGGACCTTCCTTACTGGAATTATTCGATTGGCAGGTTCAAATCCAGGAAGTCCCCCCGGCACTCACACAACTTCTGCGTAATAACTTTTAACATCAGTTCCCAGTAGAATGCTAAATGGGCTGTGGAACATCCAGAAACAGGCAGCCTCTTACCTGATCCCACACAAAAGGTGCCAGGTTGTGACTTACCCCACCAGCACTGGACAACTCCGAAAAGGACTCGCACCTCACATGGCGTCTGCCAGGACTCACTGCATGAATGGGGTGTAGCACCTACCTCTCAGCGGGACTGTGGGTTTCACATCAAACTGTCCACCACAGAGTGACCGGCTGTAAACTGAGCCATGGACCGGCCCAGTGTCTGACTTTTTTCATACCGACAATGCTGTGCCTCAGTGGCTAGATGGCCTACACATTGATGTCTGAATAGAGATCTTTTTAACATTTCTATTTAAAATGTTTTTAACTTGTGTACATGCTAATATATATCACAGGTCCACCTGTGGCGTGCCATACGCTGCATAGCCACCACTGAAGCCCCCGCTCTTGCTCCTCACCCGCCTTCTCCTCACTGGTGCCACCTGTCTGCCAGAGGGAGCCCAGCGGGCGAGGAAGCCGTGGCAGCCCTGCCGCTCCTCCTCGCTCCCGGGGTTGCCCGTCTGACTAGGACATCTCTTTCCAAGGGCCACCCCACCCTTGCCTCTGACCATTTTGCTTTGACGAATCTGCAGGGCGATTCCGGCGGCCCCCTGGTTTGCAACGGGGTCCTTCACGGGGTCGTTTCATGGGGAGCTCTACGGTGTGCAGCCAAACAGCACCCTGCTATCTTCACAGAGATCTGCAAATTCAGGAACTGGATTGAGGAGACCGTGGCTGCAAACTGACACAAGAGGCCTACTGGCAAGGGCTGATATTCCCAGGACACGTACGGAACAAATGTTATTTTAGTCTTTGCTTCTTCCAAGATTCACTTGCCCTACCTTCGATCATTCCCGCCCACCACTGCAACCCCAGTAATGTTCATTTCACCATTTCTGGTGTGTTTCCTCAACTCTCTAGAGAAGCTGTTCAGACCCTGAACATTTTCTGTGCATCATACTCGTCTCCAAATCTTGCATCAAGCCTCCAATTAAATGACAAGTTTTACTTTACGTTTCATATTCAGTTTTGACTATCCAATCACAGGACCTTTGCGCACACACGTAACATCAGGTGGACAGCCTAACTGATGGATCAGAGAATTTTTAAGAGGCACATACCAGCTGTACAAAACTCGGGCACTTGACACTTCAGAGACATTAAATAGGACCTCTCAAATTGTAGAGCTCAAGGCTTACCAAAGCAACATTACCCACAATAATTGCGTGTTACTTGAGTGGAGAAGCTCTGGGCCATCCAGATGTTGCATTCTAAGTCTCACGAACCCTGAGAGTTGGCTAGGCTGACCTGATAAAAGGCAGCTCCTCACATCTCCCAATTCCAAAGTTAAGGGTTAAAAGAAAAGAAAAAATGCTGGATGATGGTTAAAACTTTAAGTTTAACGGGGTTTAAAATAAGTATTTTGGGAAAACCCCAAAGCCACCCAGCTACTCTTCTGCACTGGAGATCAGCTATAATTCAACAGGGGCTCCCAGCCATTCTATCCGTGCTCATTGGTTGGAGAAGTTACCATGACACTTAAGTGAGCAGCTGTGCACTCTGGATGTCCTTCGCCTGCAGCTCTTGCCAGCCCTGCCAGCATGGCCACCGGTTGGGGTTGGTGGAAGGTGTAGTCCAACCACATCTTCGGGGGGCAGAGGTCCACCTGAAATGTAGTGCATCCTGTGCCTTCTTAATTACACACCAGCAACATCTCCAGGAGTGGGACACTTGCGGCTCTTCAGAGGTTCCAGCTTACAACTGCGAACAAGCCCAGCCAGTATAGCCAGTGGTACACACTTCATTGGCGACGGCATAACACAGGTTGATTTCGGCCTTTTGGGACACAGAGGTATCTTTGCAGAAAGGAACCCCGTGGGGCAGAACAGGCTCAGAAATCTATTGTCCTCGGCCTTCTAGAGCCTTCCTCTTCCTGCAGGCGGGCCTCCGCCTTCTCCCCATCCAACAGAGCCTTCTGCAGGCGGCTGGGCTTGCCGATGCCCAGCCGAGGGAGGCCACGATTGAGTCCTTCGAGCAGCACGCAAGCCTTGCACAGAGGCTGGCTGGAGAGGTAGCCGCAGCGCTGGCAGGTGCCCTGGGTGGGCATGCGGACGTCCTCGCGCACCGCCAGGCGCTCGCCGGAGTGGACCAGGTCAGCCACAGTGCTGGGCCGGGTGGCCTCCAGGTCTTTGAGCAAGGCGCGGGCGTGGCCGCGGTAGGCATTGGGCGCGTACACACACTCGGTGCTGAAGTAGTCCAAGCCCTGGAAGTAGGCATACAGCACAATCTCCTTCTCATAGGCATGCTTCAGGGGCTTGCAACGGGGCAGGGCGCCCTCACCGCCTGTCAGGATCTCCGCACAGCGCCGGAGACGGCCCACGTCCCCCCGCAGGAAATTCATCAGCACCGTCTCCGCGATATCATCCGCATTGTGACCTGGGCAGGGAATTGGGGAGCAACAGGAGGAATCACAAATGAAACATTAAGCTGCTGGAGTTCTTGCTAAGCCTGGGCCATGGACCTCTCCCCCAGAGTATTATCCTCATGGTTCTGGACCCATTCTCCAGACCCCGAAGGCACTGGTGCCAATGGAAGGCTCCTTTTTCCATAAATTTAGCTGCCAGATGTGGGGAGAGATTTTTGGGGGAAGTTCAGCTGGAAAAGTCCCTTCCTTTGGCACTGTGCCTCCAGATTTTCTCCTCCATAAGGCAATTAATCTTGCAGGGGAACCTAGCAATGTACCTGATTACAGCCTTTCTGCCACTCCCCTAGTTGGGCAAGTAGGAAATCTACCTCCTGCACCAGGGATAGACAGAAGGGAAATCAGGACCCTCTCATCTCTCTCCGGGTGATCCACAGCACATCCTCATGGGCTTCCTGCCTCCCACTTGCTTAATGATAGCAACTACAGAAAGATTTTATTCTAGCCTTTCAAAATTACCCTTCTGAAACAAAGACAAATTAGGAGAAATCCAGAAGTTCTTCTTTAAAAATAGTAATAAAATACTGCAAACTCAGTTCTGCTACTGAAAATTATTTCCGTGGTTCAGTATATACTCCAAGTCAAGTGTAGCCTTGTCACTTTGAGCCGCTCTGCTTGATGGATCTTGAGACTCTACTTAAAACAGCAACACAAAACAGATTCTACCAGTTCAAAGTGTGCCACAGCTTCATAATAATCTACAAAGCACAACCAAGGTTTCACTGTCTCATGGTTCTGCCCTACATGCCTGGGATGAGGCATGGCTAAAGGGGCAGACAGAACTGTTGGCCTCCCCGTAGCACCTGGAAAAAGGCAGGAAGTTGCCAGGAATGGGGTCCATAGGTTTTAGCTGAAAACTGCTTAAGTGCCTTCCTTATACTGAGCTTATGTACTGCAGCACATAGTGTGCTGGACTGGGCTTCTGCCACCAAATTCACTTCTGCTCAGGAATGGGGAGGAGAAGCAAAGGTGAGGATCCTTTTACTGTATCATTACCAGCCGGTGTGCCCATTGAGGCGGAGTGATGCTCACCGATGCAGGATGTCAAGTTGGGGAAGGCTGGAGTAGAGATTACTATGTAATAGCACTTGTCTTTTTAGTGGTGGCCCCAGAGCTGTGGAATTCCCTATTGAATTATGTTTGCTCCCCACAGCAGAGGATTTTACACAGCATCTTCTCTGGAAGTGTGTAGACAGTGTATGAGCCTCAGAGCAGCTCTCAGTAATCCTTCACCTTTCTGTGTCCCTAATATTGCTTTGTATTCTTCCTTTTGTGTATTTTGCACAGTGAGAACACAGCCCTGAAAATGAAGTCCTGAAGAATTGCAATTTTCAATGGTAGTCCTCCAAGAGCCAGTGCCTTAAAAAAACCCATTACTACTACCTCGCTTTACAAACATCTACTGCAGTGATCTTTGCTATTTTTAAAGTGGGAGCCACTTTGGCAAAACATACAAAATAAAAATATTCAGTGTGAGAGCCACATTAATTCAAAGAAACACAGAATACTCAAATGCAAAACTCCTTTTACTAAATGCGAGAAAGTGCTTGTTACTCCTTTATGTTATGATTTTATGTAATCACCTCAAGAGTCTAGCGACTGAGCAAGCATTTCCAAGAAAGAACAAAACACTTAAACCGCCCTTTCTAGAAGCCCCATAAACCACGAAGCTTCCAATCCTCCGTGGGTTTAGCCAGAAGAATATCCTACAACTACCAGCAATGTTTTCCCTGTCTAAACTTGGGTAGGATTGCGCCCTGATTAACGATTGCGTTTTATGCTTTCCTATTACAGCATTAGGCTGTGGCGTCGGTTATTCCCTCTGCTGAGCTTAAGTACGCCAACAACCCGTGCGGAGTTATCTACACTCTGCACATGCTCGGAGGTCCCGCTCCTACCTCACGCTGAGGCTGAGGCTGAGCCCGGCCTCTTGCACGCCTGCCGGAGCGTGCGCGTCCGCGCGAAATGCACTCGAGCTCCCCACCTGTGGCGATCTTGTCCGCCCCGAGCAAGGCGGCGCCGCGGTCGAGCGCCTGCCGCCGGAAGACGCCGCAGAAGGTGCAGTTGTTCCGGGGGCCGACGTGCCGGGCGATGCGGTCCATGCTCCAGCCGTAGAGCTCCTGGTAGGAGACCACGTGGAGCGGCAGCCCCAGGCGGCCTCGGTTGCGGCGGACGGCGGCCAGCGAGTCGTCCCGGTAGCCGGCGATGCCCTCGTCCACCGAGAGCAGCAGCAGGCGCAGGCCGTAGCCGTGGCGCTCGTTCAGCAGGCGCAGCACGTGCGCCAGCACCGTGGAGTCCTTGCCGCCCGACGCCCCGATGGCCACCGTCTCGCCCGCGCGGAAGAGCCGCGCCGCCGTGACCGTGCCGTGCACCTCCGCCTCGAAGGCCGCCACGAAGCAGTCCCGGCACAGCGCCTGCCCGGTCTTGGGCCGGCGCAGCGCGGCGCGCCGGGCCGCGCAGCTCGCGCAAAGCACGGGCGCGGGCATGGCAACCCGGGAGGGAAGAGGCCCGCCGCCTCCGCCGGAAGGAGGCGGAGCGCGGGGAACTACAACTCCCGGCGTGCCTCGCCGTCTCGCGCAGGCGGCTTGGCTCCGCGCCTCCCCTTTCCCGGAGCTGGAGACTCAAGGGGTGCTGATTGCCGCCCTGGGACCATAGAGCGGGCGGGGGGCTTGCCATTCGCTTTCTTTTCGTGAGAATATGTCTTGGCCTGTCTTCCACCAGGGGTGTTCCGGTGGCGAGAAACGCGCGATAAAATTCACGCAATAGAAAACGGAGGCGGTGGCAAAACCAGTAGAAGCAGCATCAGCAGCAAAGAATCCAAAAGGCAGCAAACACCATCATCAAACAAACCCTGCACCAGGCAGTTGCCGTTTCAACCAGGGATGGACAAATTGGGGCCCGTCCGACGTTTTGGCTCACAACGGGGGCTGTGCTAGGTACTGATAAGAGCCAGGACACAGACCTGCAGGGCAGAAAGTTGGGCATAATTACATATGTTAATTTACATATGCAAATATAAGTGCATAATTGAAAATTATAACGATAGTTTACATGTTGTAGACATAAAGCTAATTCAAGTCTTGGTTGAGTTTGTTGGGAAAATTTGGATAAACCGTGTCTGAAAAGCATTACTCCTGTGTGCCTTTGCATTGTGGGATCAAATCCTGTCTTCCTTCTCAAAACCAAGCTGTCACTGTTTAAAATGCCACCCCCCCCCCCCCCCCTTTCCTCCCCCTTTTCCTTGGGGCTCCACCAACACGGCCCTTCAGTCCAAATATACATTGTAAATAGTAATTGTTGGAATTCAGTTTACAAGGAAGTATCTTTTGATAGCCCAGAGGCTCCATGTGCCCTGGCCAATTCAGAATGTCTAGAGTCTAGATAAGAGTCTTGAGCTTATCATGAATAGTTTCTAGTAGCTTGAATTTGCATGTCTGAGCAGACCTGGAGATGGGTTCAAGTTACTTAACTAAAGTGTCAATACAGGCAATTGGAAATACTGTAATCTCATTGTTACTGTGTGATTGACTGACATTTCTTTACCTGTTCTGTATGTGATGACCTCAGAATCTTACTGTAATCTCTGCATTCTGTCATCAATTGCCCTGTATCTGTGTACCTATAAATGCCCTGTAATGGTATTGAGGCTTTGCAGCAGAGTTCACCTCTGCCTGCCCGGTAATGCATGCATTATCGTGAGTGTACCCTGGGAACCTTGGGGGAAATACAATAAAGCCTCAGATGGTCTGGACGCTTGGTCTTTCCCACGAACCCGAGTTTTATTCCCTCTTCTCAAATTGAGATTCCGGGATTCTGACTAGTTCAGGACAGAACTGCACAATGTCCCAAACTGCTTGCTTAAAACGCGCCCTCTATGCAGCCACACTTTCCCCTGCTTTTTCATGCCCACATCCAGATACAGAAGATTGAGTGCCTGGGACAAGCAAGAGCACATCAAGTATTTATTTAGTTGCAAACTGATATGATACACTAGCCAGGGAGAGAGTAGCTCTGCAATGCAGACCAGTGGTTCTCAAAATTTTTGGTCATGGAACCTTTCTGAAGACATTTTTTCCCTGCAGAATCCTAACTCTATCCCTAATTTTTACTAAGCATTGTGAATCCACAACATTCTTCCTTCTTTCATCTGCTCCTATTGCCTAAGTGCTTTGCATAATATATTAGGTCTGGAAATAAAGAGAAAACATTTTACATATAACAAATGAATAAAACGTTCATATGGTAATATCCCAAATGAATTCTTTAGAAACCAAATGAACTGATGCATTTCCTTGTTTGCTGCTTGGATGCCAACTGACAATCAAATAGTTGGCCCTGTGTGGTTTCATTTTAAAATCCATTTTAAATTTATTTTTGAAAATTTTTGCAGAACCCCTGTGAGGCTTTTGTGGAACCCTAGGGTTCCATGGAACACAGCTGGGGAACCACTGATGTAGACTATAATAATACACACTCTTAAGCTGCAAACTTAATTAGTAGAGCATAACCCTGATTAAATATGCTGGGGTGCACTATGTTTCTGAGTAAACCCTCACTGCCTCTTCCCCACTTCTAACAAGGACAACAGCACCAGATAGAGGCTTAAGGAATGTAGTAGTTACTTTGCTGTTCTTGGTTTCTGGAGGAGGAGGAGAAACAGTCATGACAAAGGTGGCTTTAATTTGTTTCAAATCCTCCCCCTGCCCTTATATAGTTTCTGGGATTCTAGAACCCTTTTTTTACAGTTCTTGGGTGATAACTTCTTGAAATCCTAAAAATTACACCAAATGTTACAATATTAAATTTCTAGCAACCTCATCTTTGGTTAACTTTTAAACTACTAAACTGGATGGGCAGATACTTTTATTAGAATCAACCAAAATCCTAATATAGGTATTGTCCAGCTGTGGATTTGGCGTTTTTGTCATGGCTCAGCATGACTTCCTTTGCATTTGGTGCCTTTAAAAAAAATGCTAGAGTTAACAATTCCCATATTGGAACTATCTTCAAGCTGAATATAGCATGTTATGGCTCTGAACACATTCACTAAGCTGTGATACTCCAACCCTACTTTTATGTGGGAGAAAGTCTGATTAGGTTCAGTATAACTTACTTCTTAGTAAAAGTGTTAGGAATACATAATAAGTACAGTATCCTATAATCCTGCATATGTTTCCCCCACCCACAGATCTCAATATGCTCCCACATTGTAGGGTATGTCCTACATTATTTCCTGTAACATTTCAGCTGTTTCCCACCCCACAGATCTCTACAGCCCATGCCCAGGGCTGGCTCCTGAAAGCTGCACAGCCTCCTCTGTGGCTTTGGTGAAATGGAGCGGAACGGAAACCCTGATGATTTGAAAAGCAACAGTGAAAGGAAGTGGGAAGGGACATGGGCTAAGTGCATAAACTTCTTCCTCCCCGGCTTGATTTTTTGGAAGGCAGGGGTAACCTGATGCTGGAAGTAGTAGTTCCTCTATAATCCTCACTAGTCAGACCTCACCTGGAAGACTGTGTCCAGTTCTGGGCACCAAGATTTAAGAAAGATGCAGAAAAATTAGAAAGCGTCCAGAGGAGGGCAACAAAAATGATCCAGGGTTTGGAAACATTGCCCTATGAGGAGAGACTAACAGAACTGGGCATGTTCTGCCTTGAGAAGAGAAGGTTTTGGGGGGTGGACATGATACCTCTCTATAATTACCTCAAAGGCTGTCACAAAAAGGAAGGTCAAGATCTCTTCTCGCTGATGCCAGAGTGTAGGACACAGAATAATCAATTCAAGTTGCAACAACCCGGATTCAGGCTGGACATCAGGAGAAACTTCCTCACTGTCAGAGCAATACAGCAGTGGAACCAGCTGCTGAGAGAGGTGGGGGGCTCTCCCACACTAGAGACATTCATGGAGAAACTGGGCAGCCATCTGAGGGGGATGGTGGGACTTGGTGTCCTGCAACAGCAGGGGGCTGGACCCCATGGCCTTCATGGCCCCTTCCAACTCTACTCTTCTATGATTCCATGAACCTGGTAGCTGCAATGTGGGACTGCTACTTTTTCCCCTCTTCAGAAAGCTTCTCTCTCTTACAGCCTCCTTCTCGCCATTCTGTTCCCATCACACAACACATTTTTGTACACAGCCAAGAGAGGGGTTTCCACCAAGATGCAGCATTTAGCTATTTCAGTACAGAATGCCAACAACGTCTGGTGTCCCAAGGTTTAGCACTGCCAGACTAGCTGGGCAACCTTTATGTTCTACACTCGTAGCCACGCTGCCTGGGGTATCCTGAGAGCTGTACTACTTTTTCTGTCTAAACTTGCATAAGATTGCATCCTGAACTTGTGGTTCGGTGATCAGAGCCTGCAATCCCATGGACATGTTGGAGGATTCCTTTGAAAAGTGCACTTTTGAGCAAACCTTCCTCGTGTTTGGGCTGAGTGGCCTCCATTTCTGCTACCCGGGCTTCAGAAACTTGCAGACCCTCTCCAAGCTCCCCTGCCCCATACGATTGTGAGGTACAAACACGGCAGATGACAAGATGTTTTGCTGCCCGGGGCAAAAAAAAAAAAAAAAACCCAACCCCAAGATGAGGCCTCTCTCCATTCCATGCACGAAACGCACCTGGCCTGCTGGCTGCATTGCTCTTCGGTGCTGGTGACGGGACAGATGCTGGTGATGCATCTGGAGCGGCAGCCTAGTTTAGGCAGTGCAGAACAGGCTGTGTGGCACACAATTGGCTCCTTGGGGCGTTGCTGGCACCTCCTAGGACCTGCTGCCTGAGGCGACTGCCTCCTCCGCCTAATGGGAGGGCTGGCCCTGAACAAACAAGTGGAAGAAGTGAAACTTGGATGTCCTTTAAAGGAGGCTTGGGGGCCTCCCATCCACAAGTCCTCTTGACCTCGCTAAGCTTCTTAAGATGAAGAACAGAACGAACGTGGTTCTGTCACTAGGGGGTAGGCTCACTCTTTGCTCGCTCCTGCCACCTGAGGCTATTAGAGTTACTCCTCGCCTTCTCCAAGATTGGGGCCGGTGCCCTGACGTGACCGCGAGGTGTACCGGGTGGGGAGGAAGTGTGCTTAGCTTAGGGACTTGTGTGGGGTTGGACTGGAGGGGGATTTGGGTTTGTGGAGACTCACTCCGCTGTGCAGCCGGGCTGGAGTTGGACGGGCTGGAGTTGAGTCTTTCTTAGTCTGCAAGATGCTCTGTGTAGTAGAGTGGGGTTGGGAAGGTCTGAAAGCTGTTTCCTGTTATTCATCTGTCATCCTTTGCCTGGGGTCAGAGCATAATTTCCTGCCCTCTCTCCATCTGCATTTGCAAAAGGGGCCGCTGGAAGGCTGGAGGGCTTTTCAGCCAAGGGGCCTTCCTATCTTCCCAGACACAATAAGGTTGGAAAAGGAGGGTCATGGCCTGGAGCAGAGTTAAGCCCTCACTGGAGGGATCAAGGGCCACCTGTTTACCCCAGGATGGCTGCAAGAGCAGGCATGTGAGA